CGTCCTCTGCCCGCCGCGGCCCGTGACGCGCCGGCTTCCTCCGGACACTTTCCGGTCTCTTTTGTGTGTGTCTGTGTCAAGCCCCAAGCCTGCCCTCCGCGTCCGGCCTCCAGCCCCTTTGCCTCAGGCCTCCTGCGGTCCCCATCCCGCCTTGGGGTTCCTCAACCTCTGAGAACTGCAGACCCCTGGGGCCTCACTTTGGGGCGCCTCGCTCAGCGCTTGTGCTGAGTACCAGCGATCTCCTGGGAAATCGCCCAGCTAACTACATTTTGGGGTCCTCCCGGAAACCTAAATTCCACAACACACCCTCTTTTCCACTCATTAATTAATTTCCTGTGGAAACAATGGGCCGAGGGATCAAGAGGCCCGACTGGGCAGGCACTCCCTGTTCTGGGGGCTCACCTGCTGTAGAACTGTGGTTTTAAAAAAATCCCCCAAGCAAAACCAAAAACCCCAAACAAAAAGAAAACAAACAAACAAAAGCCCTAAAGCCAAGTGTCACGACTTAAACAGATCCTAGGGCCGGGGCTTTAGCTCAGCGGTGCAGGTCACGTTCAAACTAAATTTCAAGTAAAATCTACCAGAATTTCCTTCCTCACTCTACCTTCAATAATTTGTGCATCAGGTATGGAGAACTTTTTCGTGTTAATGTGTGAGTTGATCAGGTAGAAACAGTTTACAGATAGTTCGGGTTGGAGCCTAGAGACAATTCCAGCTAAAACATGAAAAATAACTGGCAGGAAAAGTAATCCACAAAGCAGATCAATGGTTTCCTGAGGTTGGGACAGGCCTGGAATCCCAATTGCTGGACCGCAGAAATTTGGGGGTAATTGCAAAGTGCTGTAGTTTTATTCAGAGGATGGTGACATGAATATATAGATTCAAAAAGCATCAAATCCTATACTTAAGACTGGTATTTGTTTTGTTTGTTTTTTGAGACAGGGTCTCACTATGTAGTTGAGACTGACCTGGAACTCACTATGTAGCCCAGGCTGGTCTCAAACTCATAGCAATCCTCCTGCCTCAGCCTCGCGAGTGCTGAGATTACAGGTGAGCACCACCAAGCCTGGAAGAAAAGAAATGACTGTGGCTCATTCATGTAAGCCTTACCTGTTTACCTTGAAGTAGCTGGGCATGCTTTTGTCATATCAGGAAGTTTAATTGAATGACTCTCTACTGCAAATCTACTCTGTATAGACGGCACGCTTACAGCTGCAGCCCTAAAGAGCAGTGGCCCATGGAACCCGTGAAATAGGGGAACAGCCCAAACTATTCAGTGACCTTCATCCCAAAGACAGTGCTTATGAGTCATGTTTCCCTTTCTGGTTTAATCTAAGTGGGGTGAAATTTTCCTGAGTGTGATACCACAATAGATGAGGCAAACAAGGAACAGAGCTGTTGTGTGACTTCCCCAGAGTCACAGGGCCAGTGTAAGTAACTGACTTTCAGTCTGTGCTCCATTACCCTGCTGTATTCCTTCCACAGAGTGTGCTCTCTGCAGGAGGTGGTTGAAAAAGAGAAGCCACCAGATAAGGAATACTACACAGGGAGTTGAAAGAGCAATCTGAATGCTGTAAATGGCATTCCCCCCCATGTTTTTTTTTTAAAAATCATTGTTTCTTTTTTTAAAGATTTCTCATTTCTCTTTCTTTCCAATGTAGATAGTAGTTCAGCTGAAAAATTCTGGTAGAGGTCCAAATGATGGTTTTTAGGAGGATAGGAAAGGCATAGAAGCAAACAGCGACTACTAATAATCCAGGACAGGCCAGCAAATGGCTAACTAGGACTGGTAGTGCCAGAGGTGGGATCACAGGGACAGAGTCCAGAGAGGACTAAGGATGAAGTGGTTATTGTGGGAAAAGTGAGGGCCATGCTGGAGACAGCCGGTGGGGCGCTTTCCCAGTGCTGCAGTGCAAAAAGGTTAGAACCATTCAGAAATACAGGAAAGTCAGGATGACAATGGGCTTTGCAGAGATGAAAGAAAGGAGCGCACTTTTCTAAAATGAAGTTGGAAGTGCTCTAAAGATCTTACTCTGTTTTATGATGCTCGTTTCTCCAGTCACAGGAAGTTAGTTTCAGTGAACTGGATATACATAGAAGCTGAGGGCAGAATGCATTATTTTCTTTGAAGAAATACATTGTTTTCTGAAACATTATAAACTGAAACTCAGTACTTATTTAAAAAATCATTACATCACCCTAAATGATTCACGCCATGTACCTACCACACATGTTAATATTTAGTTTTTCTTCAAATCATAGAAGACAGCTAGATCACTTAAAATGTTATTCTTCTTTACACATTGCTAAAAATTAGGAAAACAGAATTAAAAGTTGATTTTGTTATAAAATATTCACCAATCTTTCCTTTTGCCTGTGTTCTTATTAAAAAATAAAAGCTTATTCACACTTTCATTTAAAAAAGGTAGCATACATGTGAACACAAAGCGTTTAACGATGTTTGTAGTTTTAAGATTGCTCGGTGTCAAATCAAAGACATTAACAATGTATTGCTTCAAGAAATCTGTATTTGCTAAAGGGACAGGTATAAGAAAATCACTGTATAACCCCTGGCCCATTATCTTCACATTACTTGAAAAGAAACATTTAGAAGTTTTAATTAAAAATTATTTAAATTGTCAGTGAAAGAAAAGGATGTTTGAAAAGGGTGATCTCAAAGGAATATGGAATTGTAAGTCTACACTTTTATAAAAAATATCCCTTGGCAACTACTGGAGCCTGTTTAACTTTTAAAGATAAAACAGTTACTTAGAGCTGGATTTTGGCCTTGTATAACCCATGGAAGTTTGATCACTTTAAAGTGACCAACTTTTAAGCTGGTACCCAACTGTAGCTCGAATGTCTTTCGCCAGTGGGTTGTAGTTTTCCAAGTTGCAATGTGAGATCTTATCAAATCTATGATTAGCCAGCCCTACATTAGGTGTTTTTTTAGGTATGTTTGTAAGTACCGAATTAACAGGATTTCCTTGCAAAGTTCTTGGACAGGTTGGATCTTGCTTTGGAAAGCATTTACTGTGAAGCCCTCAATTTAGCTATAGCTTCTATCTTGAGTGGATTCTTTAACCTTGCTGAGGATTAGTTGACCTCGATACAGGAAAGCAACAGGGCTACCCTGCAAGATTATTATGTATGTCATAGTGTGTCCTGTGCTCAGAACTATAGGACAACCACGCTTTTAACTTTCAGCACATGAAAGTGTATGCAATCCGAGCTCGGCAGGCAGAAAAGCCTTCTCCAAGTTTACTGTGCCTCCGAAGACCCACACCAGGAACATAATGCTGTTTCCAAACTTCCTTCCTGAAACCTTTATCACAGTGTCACACTGTGTTTCTCACCTAAGTGTTGTCTAACGTGATTGGATTCCAAATGTTTATCCAGCTCTGTGACTCTACCTATAAATATTAGTCACTGCAGACATTTGTCTTCTCAAGTTACTGAACTTGTCAACAATCTATTCACTTAAATAATCTTAAGACTTCACATGACCACTACTTTTACAGCAACTCTAAATGGATTATTGTTTATCTTGCACAGTTTTCCCACCTCTCGATTTTCATCAAAACAGGCATTAACAATGGACCCATGGCCAAAGTGCAGTAGAAAGGTAAAAGAAAAAAACTGAGTTATGTATAAAGGTAGGGAAGAATACTTTGACCACGACATAATTAATTTTGAAATTTGAAAAGGATTTAACAAAGTAGTAAAGTAACACCCCCAGCATAAGAAAGCTCTCAGAAATGGATAGAGAACGAGGTTGTTAGTAGTTCATAACTTGGTCTCTTTGATCATGAGCGTTACTCACATAGTACTGCTTACTCGATATGCTGCCCGAGTATACGTATGGGATTTTAAAAAATTGATTGAATGAACAAGTATATAAGTTACTAAAAGGGTGCATAGCAAAATTTGTCAAGGAAGTAGTCTTTCATTTTTGGATATTAGCTGGAAATTTTTTGCCTCAGATTTCTTTTAGGTGTCTAGATACATATTATCTCATTGGGATAGAGCAAAGGGTCATCTCTTCTGTTTAATTTAAAGAAAGATCCAGCAAAATTTAGGCATTTATTCAGTTATTATACTTACCAAAGAGGGGAGAAATAAGCTGTTACTTTCTGTCTAGTGTTACGTTTATGGTCTAACCAATCAGTAAGGAGAGGGCAATATTCAAAGACAGCTCTCTGGAAATTTGGGTTTCTATAGTCTGGATTAAGTCTGTTTAGTCTTTGCCACATTTTTTATCAGTTCCACTTAGATGTCTCATCCTCTAATTTTGAAAGTAAGTTAATATTTCAAAGGAAATTTTTAAAATGGGCTTTCCAGGCAGGAACATTTTACTTTGACTGTATGAGTAGGAACACTTGATTTGCTTTTCTGTTGCTAACCTTTTCAGTGCAAGGGAATCCAAAAAGCATCTGGCGATTTTCAATGCTGCATGGAAGGGAGGAGACCCAAGTTCCTTCCCAGCCTTGTTCAATTGTTTTGTGACCTTCAGAAAAATCACTGAATCTTTCCATTATTCTGTTTAACATTTGCAAATGTCCTTATTTTGCATTGTTTCTTTGCCCCTAAAATTATGTTCATAAAGATTTATAAACTAGCAGCCACACACTTAGGAACAGATTTTTTTTTTTTTTTGAGCTGGGCACTGATTTAAAGCTCATGAGAGAGAGAGAGAGAGAGAGAGAGAGAGAGAGAGAGAGAGATCCTGTCCTAATTGTTTGCTTTTTGGTAGAATTCCAAAATATTTCT